GGAAGGGCCGTGCCGTCGGCACATATAGCTTCCGTTATTGTAACCCAGCTGCGCCTGTGAGGGCTTCTTTTCAAGGTCTTCCTCTTCTCTGATTGGCCAACAACTAAGCCGTTAATACCGACCCCTTGGAAGATACCCGTTTCATCCATATTCCAACGGTTACAGCCGCGGATTATCGTGACCTCGGGATCCTTCAATTGGTCGAACCAAGACCGGATGATAACTGCTTTTGCTCCTTCAATACGCTTATATTCAACTCTAATTGCTTTAAGCGTTTTAATTCGTTCTGATCGTGCGATAAATCGGGTAACCCAATGCTTGCCAAGAGGTTTATTATTGCCTTGTAAGCTCAAAATACGTATAACAAGTTGCCTGATTTGGAAATGCGTTAATGGAGTACAAAGGGTATCTTGAAGCCTTAAAAAAGAGATGAGATCGGCTTTAACGGCCGGGCCGAGCCGCTGCTGATCTATATGAGCTTTATTTTTAGGCATAATGCCTTGAAGTCGGCGCCGTAAGCTTGATCGTGGCACAGAAGCTTCTTCAGCAGCTTTAACTGTTGATTGGCCGTTTTGAACAAGGTTAATTGCTTTAAGCATATCTTCTTCTGTATAAGAAGGCATTGTGGGTCAAGATTGGATGAAAATTAGGGTATTATATCGACTTTTTGAGTGATTGAATTGATGAAGGTTATGTTGTTGAGGCCAAAAGCGGGGTGGCCGGTTCCCGGGGTGGCCGGTTCCCGGTCTCGTGACTTACCAGAGTCGCCGCCGGTACATGTGCCGAAGCCATTTTGACAGCCAGCACCGCAGTGATCAGTCTTGTCACCGCACCATCCGGAACCAGAACAGCAGTCCCCATAGCCAGAGTCTAGACAAATCTTGCCATTGGCGCCACATTGGCCATCAAAGGTGATGTTACTGGGAGGACCGCATGTTCCAAAGTCAGGAAGACAGTTGTTACCGCAGTGGGCGGTAGAGTTGCCGCACCAGCCTTGCTCGGAACAACAATCTCCGAAGGGGCTCCCGCCACAGATGAACTTATTTGTGCCGCCGCAAGAGCCGTCAGGAGAGACACTTCCAGGGCCTGGGGGAGCTTCCGGTGGAGGTGCAGCAGCATTGCAGTTACCAGCAGAAGGTTGGCTATTTCCATCGTCAGTCTTGTATGCAGAAAGGATATAAGGTGACTTACCATCCTTCGCCACAATATTTGCTAGATCGACCGCAAATGCCATCCCCGGAGCAGCAAGCACCCCAGGTAGGACTGCAAACGAAGCCCGTGCCCTTTCCACAGGTACCATCAGGAGTGACTTCTCCAGTCTGCCATGGTGATAGAGTAACAGTCGATGACTGAGCGGCAACAAGTGCAGGCAGCAGCCAGAAGAGTCCAGCGACCTTCATGTTCAACGGATGGTTAAAAGAAAAGCTCCCAGAATTGGCAGTGCTGATACTGTGCCATTGTCATGATAGAAACTATTACACAACTTATATACTGTTTTGGACATGTATTAGGAAAACCATACAATCTCATTTGTCTTCTCTTCGTCGAAAGTTTCGGAAGGATCATCCCAATTAGGCCATAAATCCATGTCGTGGGGAGACTGATCGTAGACGGAAGACGTTTTCCGTGACCCATGCTTCTCGATCCTTCATGATCCATGTTGTTCAAATTTCTGTCTCCGGGAGGATCCGTTAGGCTGACTGGCGATTTAATTCGCGCAGCGGGATCCCTGCCATCGGGAGATATATCCACCAGCATGCAAATAGGGCTTAGACTACGGATGGGTCGGCCGCCCGACTTTAATAGTTTTGAGGCTATGTTAAGGTTATTTCTCAGGACTTGAACGGTTCAAGAGATTAAGCTTGGGAGTGACAAGATACCGTATTCAGGAGTTTAATTCCCTTTTCTTTCTCTCTATAGCCTGCTATACCCATTGAACGCTTCCCATTTATGATCATAAGATAATAATTTCCCTTAGAGGTATTATACTCATCTCGATGAACCGACCACCTGAAAACTCTACTCAGTTGACCCTAGAGCCCATCGAGAAGGTCTCTGCATCCGCATCCCGGCTCGTCGGCTCATGCCGTCTCGCATGTGACGGGTAATTTAAACGCCACCCGCTCCCGAGCATCCCTGCCAAGCCACGGAATCCCGCTGTTTCCACTATTACCGGCTCTTCATAGCCTTACGCCAAGGCTTAAAACTGCATGCATTCGGATCCTGAACGCTCGTTCCTGAACTACTTTCTGCACGTCGAGGCCGAGATCCGCTTGGCAATGAAATGTCGTCGGATAGGCCCTTTTGTGATTCGTTCATCCGAGGACCAGAACTGTAGAACATGGGATGGCTTTATCCGTCTGATGTTTACTGTATACTCTGATTGCAATGCAGCATGGTTGGAATCCTCACGGAGGCTGAGCGTTATTAACTTTGCCCTTTCAAGACCCTTACTCCGAGAGGAAAAGAGGCAATGCTGTAACGTAGGAGTAATGCCGGTGTATGAGTTTATCGCGCAACGGACTCAAAATGGATCCTGCAAAAAATGGGACGAGCAGCACGCTCCTTTCACGGACTGTCGGAAAACAAACAAGACCGATATATATACTTAGTATCATGTCTAACTCGTAGTTACCGATAGACACAGCGAAAGGCGTCATTCTTCACTCAATCGTTTGTGATCATGGTGTTGCGACTCTCGAGTATTGCCTTTATGGCGATTGCTATTCTCTTTCTCTGTCTTGCAACCTTCGCCAATGCTGAAAACACTCGCCAACTTCACGGCAGCCGTGCTCGGCATCACCGCCGTGCCAATGTCATCAGTACGTTGGCTACCCATCCATCAAGCTCGTCGCCGGATGCACTGGTGAAAGAGACTTCATACTGACAACTACCAAAGCCAAGGCTCCTGCATGGGCTAAGGAGATCACCAACAGCCCGGGTCACCAGAACCCTGCCATGGCACCTCCGGACCCAACCGTCGAACTAGAGCTTTCTGATGATTCTGCGACCAGCCTGGATCAGTACTACAAGGATGCGGAAAACGCCACTGAGCCTTCTGATGTCACTCCTAACAAATCTCACCTCTCACGCCGATCTCTAGAGAAACGTGGAAGTGGTCCTCTGTACTGCAAAGATGGCCCTTGCGCAGATGATAGGTGAGTAGACCACTGACCAGAGGATGACGGAGATCACTGATCTTGTGTAGTTGCTGCGGCCCCGAGAAAATCTGCGGCTATGGCCCAGACTATTGCGGTAAAGGATGCTCATCTAACTGCGATGCTACAGCCATGTGCGGAGAGTACAGTGAAGAGGGCGAGATGCCTTGCGGCATGAACCTCTGCTGTTCTGCTTCAGGATGGTGTGGCGTAAGTGTTCGTCCCATCAATCGCTTGAACAAACTGACAATTTTAGACTACTGAAGTCTTTTGTGACAATGCCGATCCTGTCCACAAGACTCTTCCCTGCCAAGCTGGCTACGGATCCTGCAACATCGCCTCCTCCCCTTCATGCGCCAAGGGTAGTGGTAGCACCAACGGCCGAACCATTGGCTACTACCAATCTTGGAACGTGCGAGCCCGCAAGTGTGACACCAAGACACCTAAGCAGCTCAACACCAAGGGTTTCACTCATCTCTTCTACTCGTTCGCATTCATCGACCCTGTTTCCTTCAAGGTCACCCCCGCTCATGACGATGATGTGAAGCAGATGCACGAGTTCACTGACCTATCCAAGGATGGTAAGTTGCAGACTTGGATCGCTATTGGTGGCTTTGACTTCAGCAATGAGAACACTTCTACCCATACCACTTGGAGCGACATGGTGTCTACCAAGGCCAACAGAGCTTCGTTTATAGACTCAGTTCGTGCTTACATGGATGAGTATGGCTTTCAAGGTGTTGATCTTGATTGGGAATACCCCGGCGAGCCCAAGCGCGGTGGTCGAAAGCTTGCTGATACCCGCAACTTCTCCATGCTACTCAAGGAAATGCGTGCAGCTTATGGTAGCAAGTATGGTATCAGCTTGACCTTGGCTCCTGACTACTGGTATCTTCGCTGGTTCGACGCAAAGGCTATGGAGCCTTACGTGGACTTCTTTGGTTTCATGGCTTATGGTAGTTGTCACCCTTCTGCAACCTGAATACCCATTGCTGACATCCTTAACAGATCTCCACGGTTACTGGGACGAGGATGTCAAGACTCTTGGCAAGATCATCCGTGGTCAAGCCGACATTCGAGAAATCGGCAACAACACCATCCCTCTTTGGTTCGGTGGCCTTGATCCCAAGAAGCTCAACTTTGGTCTCGCTCTGTACGGTCGTGGCTACACTGTCGCTGACAAGAGCTGTAACAATCTTGGCTGCTCTTTTGTTGGACCCAGCAAGAAAGGAGAATGCACTGACTCTGATGGTGTTATGTCTCTTGGCGAGATCAAGAACCTCATCAAGAAGGGTGTCAAATCTACTTATCTCAAGGACTCTATGATGAAGCAGATCACCTTTGACGACCAGTGGATAGGATATGATGGTAAGCTACACAGCCCCTCCCATACTTTTACTTGACTGACAACATTTAGACGAGGAGACATTTGCTGATAAGAAGGCATGGGCTGATGGATACTGTTTCGGCGGCACCATGATCTGGAGTATCGACTTCCAACCGAGCGATAACTTTACGTAAGTGCCCTGCTTCTCATCCGTCTTGGCCAGCAACTAACATTCCTCAGTGATGGTAGTGGTGATGTACCCGCTCTCCCAGACCTCGACGGCATAGGCGCCATTCCCAAGGACCTCCAAGACAAGGTCCTCAAGAAGTGCGACACCGGCTTCTCTTACGACAACTACGGCGACCTGCCAAAGCTTTGGTACGACTCTGGAGCTGAGCAGTGGGCAGATGCCTACATCAAGTCTCAGAAGGATCACACCAACTGGGCTCAGAACCTTTACCGCAATCTCTTTGAGAAGAAGGATCATACCAAGTTCTCTTGCGTTACGCCCAACTCTCGATGTGACTTTGACGCCTCTTGCGGTACGTTACCCTTTCTCCATCCCTTGGAGAAGTAAGACTGATGTTTGTGACTAGCCGAGTTTAACAAGATTGGCAAGGGTGGACTTTATTACCTCTTCCAGTCGATGTCGAGTTTCCATACCTTCATGAAGGCTCTCAATCAACAGTTCGACAGCAAGATCACTCTGACCCTTGCGACCGTCTCCGAGATGAGACTTATCCTCGACATCAAGAGTGGTCTTCCCCAAACAACCATCAACATCGGAAGTGTTCTTGGTTCAGCCTTCAGCATGGCTAGCGCTATCGCTGCACCTATTCCAGCTGTTGGTGGTCCTCTTGCTGGTATCTCGGGCCTTGCTAGTATGATTGGAACCTTCACCAGTACAGTGTAAGTTGTTGCGGTCCGCTTTTATGATTTGTTGGATACTAACCTGTCACTTATAGTGGTGGGAATGACAACGCCGTTGACGCGACCGACACTCTGACTTTCGCGGTCAAAACCGCTGCAGTGGAGGGCAAGAGAAAGATTGCCAGCATTGTTTCTTCAGTGTACGGCGACTTTGGACATGCACAGACCGATCTTCCCAAAACCATGCTGGTTGGAGGCGCTGATAACCCCGCCATCAAGGTCTTTGGCTATGGTGCGTGGTTGAGAGACAACGATCTCACAGACCTGAGCGGCGCCGTGGAAAGAATGTCCGACAAGATGGTAAATAGCTCTACAACTGTACTAAAAGTGACGCATACTGACTGTTTGTAGAACCAAGCTCTTTTGTGGCAGATGGCGAGACTCTTCAAGGGTTTCTACGTCGTGATCCGAGACGATCTCCCCATCAACAAGTGCACCCACCCCAACAACGCATGGGACGACAGAACCGGCCGTTGTCTCGACATCCTCTCCTGGTGGCCCAAATCAGCATCCGGCCGCGTCGGCGGCGATCTCGCCATGGAGAAGGTCTGGGACAAATGGAACATGTCTCCTCTCTGGACTCTGCGCAACGCCGTCGAATGCTGGGAGAACAACGGCGGCAAGATCGGCGAAGCAAAGGTTAAGGCTCTTCAGAGCGAATGGACCAACGGTGTTCCTCCTCCTTGTTTCTTCGCCATGCCTGTTCTCAAGGGTAATTGGTCTAAGGATGCTGCGTCTGACGGTGCGATTTGGCTGGCTGGTGATTTTGTTGGACAGGAGGGTCAGGCTGGAAGGCTTTGGCCGAAGGATAAGTGTGATAAGGCGAATAGGGAACTTGACCCGATTACGGGTGGTCAGGTGAAGAAGTGCAGTAGCCTCAACAAGGTTGGAGGGGAGAAATAGGTTTTGCATGATTAGCATTTGGTTACTCTTACGAAAGTCGCGATGAAAGGCGGTTGCGCCGTGTTAATTTGTAAATATTCTTTCTCTTCACACTATTTGTCATTTTACAGTAGATCAAAGATACTTCTGGTCCAAGATTTCTTCTTCGTGAATGCCTTGAAGCCCAATATGTATAGGCTACCTCGTATGTTTTCTCTCCAGAGACATCTCATCCCGCACACAACAATACTTGGGTTGACCGGTCGCAGACAGCGACTTTGTTGATCAACAGCATGCACAAAATGATAAACAGTCACAGGGAAAGGAGTTACCAGCAAAGTTGCTTGGTATAACTACCTACTCCTTGTCTACTGACAAGACCAAACAATCATCCACCATGGCCTGGTAGACAAAACATCAAAACTCCTAGCCCATCCGTGATAAAAACCTCGCACTAAGATTCTCCTTCCTTATCGCCTCGCACTCATCCAGTTCTTGCCTCAATTCCATTCTTCCATGACAACAATCCCACTTTGAGACCCCAAGCACACCCTCAAAACTTCTTTGTGTTAGCCTTCGCCGCCTTCTTTGCAGCCTTCTTTGCAGCCTTCTTCGCCTTCTTTTGGTCGGCCTTGGAAGTCTCCTTCGCCTCATTGGGAATCTCGTTCAACTCATCTGCGGCGTCGCTTGTCATCTGGCTGTCAACCTCCTAGTTGTCGTGAACCTTCTGTTCAAAGCCGCATTTCTCATTCTCAAGCTGAGCGACCATCTTCTCGCGCTCATAAAAGAAAGCCTCGAAGCGCTCGGCAGTCAGGTCCGAGATGAGCGAAGCATCTTCTTCCTCACGGAGATCCTTGATCTGAGTGACAAACTTGTCGTTGCCCTTCTTGATGTTCGCGATGATCTTCTCATGACCCTCGATCAAAGCCTTGAGTCGTTCGTAGTCGGCGTCGATTGGGGCGGCGGATTCTTTCTGGTCCGCCTTGTTCTTCTCAAAGTCGTCGTCGATCTTCTGCTCCACCTGGGCCTTCCAGTCGTGCATCATATGCTTCAACATTTGGACGTGTTGATGGGTGGTGAGGGTGAACTGGAGGCGGACACGAGCTTGGAGCTCGATATTCTGCTCCTTGACGGCATGAAGCTCCTCTTGCTCGGCTGCCTGAAGTTGGACGAGGTTGAGGCGCTCACGGACTCGTCCGAGCTCGGCATCCTTGGCAGCGGCTTCAAGTTCAGCGCAGTGCCAGTTACGGTTGGCTTCGTCAAGATTCTTCGAGAAGTGCTCCTTGAAGGATTTCTCGTACTGAACTTGGGCCTTGAGTTCTTTGTTTTCCGACTCAAGGGCCCGAACCTTGGCGCGCATCGTGTTCAACTGGGTGATCATTTGGTTGAAGACCTTGGGTTCCTTTAGCTCATGATCCTTGATTGTAGATTCGAGACTTACCTTGTCGGTGTTGCCAACGTCGGCCCCAGCAGAGGTAGCGTTGGAAGTCTCCGCGAAGGTGGGAGCGGGGGGAGTGAGGACAAGAAGCTTGTTGTCCTCAGAAGAGATGGTAGAGGCTGACTCCGCAATGGGAGAGCCGGGTGCAGTGAGTTCAAGAAACATCATGTTGAGTTCTTGATCGGACGGTGTGGTTGTTGTGTTGGTAGGTGATTGCGGATTTTTGTGAGAGTGTCTCTGTTGAGAAGATGTGAAGATTGTTGTGGAAGAAAGTGAAGATGGAAGGTGAGTTGGTAGATGGAAAAGAAAGGAAAGGTAAACAGAGCGAGTAGATCAGGTATTTATTTGAACGTTCTGGAGTGTTGACGGTGAACCACTGGCAGCTGCCTGTAATCCTGTTTTGCACTGGCCGTTGACCATTGCCAGTGGCAGTGGCATGTATCTTAGAGGTGACGCTCAAACCGTGTTCCCTTCCGTTGTGGCAGTGGCAGAATGTATGTTCAGCATGGCGGTCGAGCATGAGCGTCAACACAATCATGCACACAGCGCGCGAAATGACGAGCCACTTCCAAGGCATGAACATGTCTGTTGTGATCGCCTCAAGCAGTGTTCTTACTGTACCTTACGCAACCTTCACTACTGTTCTAGGCATACAAGTTGAAGCACATAGTAATATTCCAAGGAGACTGGTATTCAATGGGTTGAGATTCTCATTGATCTCAAATTGAGCTAAGAGTGCAGTGTCATTCTACATATCTTTCCACTTTATTCGGAACTTCCACCGAGAAGATATTCCACAACGGCTTGTCCCCAATACACCGATGCCTTGTACCACGCGATTTGAGGTACACTGCCCCGATTGATACCACTTATCGCCTCAGCCAACGCCGGTCCTCCTCCTTCGTCCCGAATCTGCCTGAGGGGGTACTGATACGTCTTGAAAGCAAACACCAACGTGTTGTCATTGTCCATTAACCTATGAAGCGTCTGCCTCTCACATCGAACGTTCGTTTCCTCAGGGTCCAGATCAGCACTCTTCATCTTCAACGCCTCGATACCCAGCCAGTCAAGAGCTGTTTTGATCCAGTCCATCAACCACAGTGGCAGAACTGTCAAAGGATTCTCCCCCGGCACGAAAAGTTCGCGACCGAGGGATATGTTCCAGTTGTGCCGTTTGACAACTTTGCCCTTTGGCAGGGAGGTGAAGTAGCGATTCATAGGTCTCTCAAGCTTTTCTTTATAGCCAGGAACAGGTCCATGAATCTCCGCCAAGGTTTTATTCAACTTGAGGGATGGGTTGAACGAGAAGGCATAGCAAAGAATGAGTGCTTTTGCAACGTAAGTGTCACCTTGCCGGTGGAGAAAGAACAGTTCTGCGTCGATGTTCTCAGCAAGGAGGCGGAGTATTGTCTTGACGTCGCTGGGCGGGTCGAGCGGTAGTTGGGTCGATTCTGGACCGAAAAGTGTATCACCTTTGGAATGGTAGATTGATGGATACCTTCGTGGTAGGTATGTTTTGACCATCCAGACATAAAACTCCTTGACGGCAGCCTCCGAACAGGGTTCAGAAGCAATGACCATGTCGGAATGCTCACGCACGATTTTCCGCCGCAGAGCAAGCCTCTCCTCTAAAGTTTTGTCAATAGGTATGATGTCCGAGAAAGTGCATTTCTCAAGGCCCATCGTGAGGTGATACTTGGGCTTCCATGGTCGTGTCTGCACTGGCTCGGCTTTGTCCAAGTCAAAGTCTTCCAAAGGCTCGATGTCGTTGTAATCGCTCAGCAACACTTGATGGTGATGCTGGCTATCTTGTGGAAGAGCACGTTTCTAATGTCAAGATATCAGTACTTTATTGCTAGTGTATCCCCCCATGCTCACAAAGGGCACCTTTCCCTGAAGAGACGTACTGGCCTGATTTCCTTCTTATTCCTCCACCATACCAGGGCCACGGTTAGTGCGGTCAACAACACAGAATACCAAGAGTATAAGTCAGCCATTGCAAGAGTTTAATAACGTCAAATAATTTTGGTAGATAGAATTTGAATTTATGAACTTTTTATGCGATTATTTGTCTACTTCAACGTGAGGTTATACGCATCAAGCAACCGAGGATTCAATCGTCCTGACGTCTAGGAGATCCATCATCGAACGCGGGGTAAACAATTGAGACATACCTACGGGCGCCGCGGCGTCCGTATTGCGGAGCGAGCGGCACTTATCACCTTGTATTCTTGCCTAGAGTCATTGCACGAGGTGATGCGCCAGTGATCTACACGCTGCAGGTATTTTTTGCAGTCTGTACCAGCAATCTCTAATGCGCTCAGAAATCGCGGGCCCGCGGCCGCCGCAGCAAGAGTGAAGCGATGTGATTACTATTCTTCCCGCGCCGACTAAGCACGCGACGCCAGAGTGAGAATGATGAGAATTTAAATGCTCACATTAAATAATGGGGTTGAGCCGAAGTGATTATCATCAACTTACGAAAGAAGCAGCAGTGATGGCCTCTGACCACACCTTGCCCGTTGACGAGTTTAACGTCGCCACCTTCACTTACAAAGTGACTCAAGACCAACCAATTCTTCTTGATTTATTTGTTCCCAAGAGCCTGCCATCTGGTGAACGTCCAGTCCTCATTCGGTTTCACGGCGGGTTTCTTGTCTACGGTAGTCGTGACAATCTACAGCTTACACCCCCCAGGATCCTTGAATATGCTCTTGAGAACAACTTGATTTTGGTCTCTTGTGACTACAGATTAATCCCAGAGAGTAATGGGTTAGAGATTCTTGAAGACATTGAAGATGTCTGGTCTTGGGTTCAGAATAGCTTGTACGAGGCTATGGGAACGATGACGAATGGGAAGAGCGGCGCAGACCTACAGAGGGTCTTGCTCGCTGGCGAGAGTGCAGGCGAGTAATATCTCTTCATTGCAGTTAGAGACAAAGCGCTAACAATGGTCTACTTACAGGTGGATACCTTGTACTGCAACTTGCCTTGCGTCATCCAACTGCGTTCCGAGCTGTTATTGCAAGTTACCCGATGATCGACATGCGAAGCGACCATTTCTGCAAAGCCTACCCGAAAGTAATCGGCCAATATCCACAAATCGATTATGAACTCGTGTCTCAGCATCTCAAGCAGCTTCCAGACGGGGGTCAGCCAACGACCAGAGGAATCTCAACTCTGCCAATCGCATTGGTACAGCACGGTACATACACCAGCTTCTTTGGTGACCACCGAAGCCTGTTTCCGATGGAAGAGTTGGAGGATAACCCGCAGTTGGCGCTTCAGCTTCCTTTCATTTGGTTGCATCATGGTAACGATGATAGTGAAGTTCCGATTGAGGGTAGCAGGAAGTTCGTTCAGAAGCTGCGAGAGCTCAACCCCAAGGCCAAATTACGATACACGGAGCTTGAAGGGGCAGAGCATGGATTTTGGAGCGAGATGAACCTGATTCAATTCGGCGAGTGGGAAGAAGGAGTCAAGGTTTTAAACACATATCTTTATAATTAAGTTAGATTCGGCAATATGTAAACCCCGGCGATTCCACACTCCCGTAGACTGACGACAGCTAGTGACATGCCCCGAAACCTGAGGTTGCCATGGGTAAGAACCATAATACAATCTCATATCTATGCATGGTGTCCACAGATATCGGGATTTGTGCCGGGCCGCCTCTGCATCACCCCCGCCAGGTTTAAAAGACTTGTGGGGTCGACGAAAACAATTATATCCGTCTCCTGCCCGAAACACATCCCGACAGAGACGTGCTGAAACCTCTACTATGAAGATGTATCCTTTCGTTTCAACGCGTAACAGGTAGCAACTCGAGACGGCCTGAGCATGGACTTCGCCTCCCGATTATTAATACCAAGTTCTGTAGATCTGAGTCAAGGGTAAGTCGGTCTTAGAAAGTGTTCTAGCTTTTACCCAGGTTCTCTTACATCATCTGAAAATAGTGGTGAAATTCCCTCATCTTACATCGATGAATACATTCGAATGAGCAAACAATAGAGGACTATACATGACGTTCTTGGACCTTGGTATCATAAATCGTCACTCCAATTCGGCAATTCAGGCAAAGCGTTATTGTCGACGGAATAAGTTTTAACCGTCGGCGTCGGAATAGTTCCGGCCGAATCTCCGCCGCGGCAATCCGAACCGAGTCAAACACAGCACAGAGTTTGCTTAATCCCGCTCGAAAGAGTGTACATCATAAGCAGTGCTATAATGAACGGATAATATCAAAGTCCAATCCACAACTCTCACGGCAATAGATATAATAAAATGAGTTATTTCTATTGTGTTATTGCTGAAGGCCCAATAAGTAAACTATGTTCATTTTGTTAAGATAAACTTGACGTTTGTGACATGCTCGTTGATGAACATGGGGACAAGGTCGGCCACCATATACCACCTTGGCTTCTCCATACCATCATGAATATATTGTCCTCCGATATTCAAATTCTCGAAGACAATATTTTCAACCTTTCTCGTGTAATCAAAACCCAAGATCTGTGACGGATTCACTATCTGCGAATTAGTTACATCAAGACTGATATCCTTGAGGGTGACATTTCGTATCCCATGGCCAGGCGCTGTTGTCCACATTTCATTCTTCATAACCCGCATATTCACCAGCTGGCCTTTGGAGATCCTTTCCACTCGGACATCTTGGATATGCACGTCTTCAATCAAGTTCTCGTCGCCTGCGCTTAGAGAAATACACCCTTGGTACCACATCTGATTCTCATAGTGATCCAAAATGTCGATGTTACTAATATGGATGCCGCTGATGGTTTCTGGCTTTGCCGGATTCCCATGAGTGCCCATATGGATTGGGTGCGCGATGTCTGGAAGAAGGGTGCAGTTCCGTATGACAATGTTGCTTGAGTCACCGTAGTAGTCCCAACGATGGCCATAGATGGCTATGGTATCGTCAGAGTTGCGCAGAAAACAGTTCTCTACGAGGATGTCTGAAGAGCAGAATAGGTCCACACCGTCGCCATTTCCATGGGACGAGAAAGATCTGTAGCCACTAATGCTTACGCCTTTCGCTTCCCCAGTTGTGAGGCTAAATCCGGTAGCGCCCAGCGAAGTAACGTTCTCGACGACAATGTTCTCCGAACGTTCAATCAAGATGGCGCCGCCGTTGGGGCTATTGTAGATGA